CGCTTGTGGTTATGGGCTGAGTTCAAATTTTAAAAGAAGAATGGATAGTTTGTAATTTAACACACAACCTAATTTTAGATAGAAAGACATTAGATTTTCAGTGTCAAAGATTCTTCCACCTATGTTAGCATGGAAAGTTAATTTGTCAACACTTAAAGGTGCACTATCTAACTTTTCTGGTGAAGAGTCCGCCACCTGCATGTCTTTGGCTTGCTTTTGCTTTCTGTAGGATGTTTCACAGTATGTTTTTAACCTTGCATCTATTTCACAATTTTAAATTATAAGAAGGCAGCGTAACAGTCTAAATATGGGGTTCATAGTGGTTCAGTCTGTTAACATCAATAGACAAACTTTTTTTCTAGTTAATTGTTTATAATTGTGATGCTATGTTCTTAGAAAATCTTGGCTTACTGTATGATTGTGTGTGGCTAAACACCAATTGCCAATAGTCCATAGGTATACTAAACCTCATTATGACATAACGTGTTCGATGAAGAATACCATTGATTCTCCAACCTCTGAACTCTTAATTTTTCCTTTTTTTTTTTTTTTTTGTAATTTGGCTGCTCTTCAGGTGATCAATGTGAATCAATTGCATGGTGATTGTAAATTTATGTATTGTATTGCCCCACTGCTACACTTCTGAAGCCATTTCCAATACCAAATCATGATCATTCCTAAATATTTCACTTTATAATGTAAACCTAATATAAAGTTAGTATTAAATTCCCTAATAGAACAGTTGATTTTAGTCTTTGTAGGCAGCAACACTGTCACAAGTACCATGGAAAAGCTGTTGTTTCTGGCCTGACTGTATGGTTTCAGTTTGTCCTTTTTCCCCCTTTATATTTTAATTCAATGCTGGCAATACAAAATGCATTGTCCAACAATGTCAAAAGTGCAAATTCTTTGGCTGAGGTGTTTTGTTTTTAATAATAAAATATGTTAAAGTATGTTAATCATGCCCTCAGTTGTATGTCACAGGGAGGCGCTACAGCGCAGGTTACAGATGGCAGGTGTGTCAATTTGTATATTTTTGTCTTACTTGAGCTTGCCGTAGTTCTCGGAGCCGGTTCTCAAAATAAATAAGCCAGAAATAATATTTCGTCTGCTCTTTTTCACCCGAATGCAACGCTGGCTGTAACAAAAGCATACCGTAACTCAACAAAATAAATAAAAACAATGCAAATGCAATGCAAGATGTCTTATACATCTGACTGTATATTCATTATAATAGCTCGTTTAGATTTAATATGGCACAAGGATCTCTCGACCACGCTGCCATGGAAACCACCTCATATCGACAGGACACCACTCAGTTCTTCTTGCCGCTATTAAGTTTGCGTCTGTCTGTGAAAGAGGTGAATGTGTATTTAATTGTTCATTGTTCTTTAACTCTTTAAGATATAATGTTCTGATAACAATTAACTTGATTAACGCGATTTACATATTTGGGGGAATTGTTGATAAATGTTAACTGTCAGTTTGTGATTTTGTGTTTTAATGAATAATGGAAAAATTTATAACGGTCTTTCCCCGTTCCCGTGACTTGCCGTGACATGCCGGACTTTAGCGCCGCATACGGACTGAACCAGGACTAAAACGGGATTGAACCAGGACTGATCCTAGCACTGAACCAGGAGAGAACTAGGAGTAAAACAGGATTAAAACAGACCTGAACCAGGACACAGTGTCGAGACGGGCCCTGGGGTGCGCTCGGGTTACTGCGGGCGAGAGTACCGGCACGGAGCTCCGCGCGCCACGGGGCTAAACGCAGCAGACAGCCTATCGCGCTTTGCGGACATTCTGCTCCGCGGATTCCCGTATTTGTCCATTTCAAGGCCAAAATTGGACCTGGTTCAGCCCTGGTTCAGCCCTGGTTCAGCCCTGGTTCAGTCCTGGTTCAGTCCGTATGCAGCGCAGTTTGTCATGGAAACGGGGAGCGGCCGTTATCCATTTTCCCCCAACACAAAATCGAAAACTTTTGGAGAAATTTTGGTTTTGGAGACAAAAAATGACGAAAATAGTTTTTTCGTTTTCTTATTTTTGGTTTTGTTTTAAAAAACGAATGAACGAATAATACACGGATTTTAAAGCTCCAAAATACGTTCCTGTGTCCGTTTCTACTCTCTAATCTGAGTACTGTTCTGGATGAAGTGTCATCTCCAATAGTTAGTTTTGTGTATTACAGTACTGAAGGATGTCCTCTTGTTGCAGACTGACAGGAGGTGAGTGGGTGTGGGTAGCAGGATGGTGGAGTTCTTAGTCATAATCTGAGGCTGTGGTTGTATCAGTACAGTGAGAGAGTGGTTGGTGTTTGTGTATTTTGGGGGAGGAGGTGCTGAGTGGGATCTGAGTAGGAGTTTCCAGGTGTGCCTGATACTCCCCTTAGTGTTGAGGAAGCATGTTTGGTTGTTTTGGACACACTTTGACCCTTTCATAATGCTGTCCTAGTATTGTTTTGTGCATAGATTTGGTTGGATAATATGCCTTTTTTGGGTAGGAAACATAAAATTTAAGTTGTATATATGTAAAACTATATTATTATTGATGCTGATGACTACTAATATTACTACCATTACTATTAATACTACAACAATGTCATTACCATAACTACACTATTACTACTGCTGTTACTGCTACTAATATTAGTACCACTGCTACTACATCACCTACTATTACAACTACCCAAGTTACCACTACTTTTACAAATAAAGCTTCCTGTATTGTTACTACAACTTTATATTACTGCCGCTTCTGCTACAAGTTCCACCACAACTGTTAATGAGCCTCCAGCCTTTTACGCTTTTATCTAGAAAGATTTCCTCTTTTAATTTGAGCCACTTCAATAACAAAAGAACACCATGTATTGACACACACCAATGACTTGTGTATTGGATTTAAATGCAAAGTTGTGTACATGTCTGCTACTGTTCTATACATTTTTGAGCAAGGAAAAGCCATTTTTATCTCTGCTTTTTAATTACGTTTTTAAAATAGTTTTGGATGATGTATAATATGTTATGTAGTCATGTAAGCATTTACACTTTTACACACAACATTAAAACCTGGACTAAACTGGGACTACAAGGACAAAGATGCAACGTACATCCGTATATCCTCACAAAACTTTGTCCATTATATTTATTTATATACTACTAATTATAGTGCGTAGGTTATTTTAAGGTCCTCTTTGTGGCATTGTTTGCCTTCACATCTTATTACATAAAGGTTATAAGCACCTTCCGTTCTGAAGTCATGTTAGGACAAGTCCCTCCATGGCCCCCTCTCCCTGTCCACTGTCTCTACACTGCCTGTCAATGAGTAAAATTTGTCATAAATATGCAAAAGTCACCATACTAGATGGGTCGTGTCCACATCAAGTACAGCTATGAATTAACTTTATGCTTTAGGAAAATGAAACTACTGAACAATTGACAATAGGGTCCTTTAAAATTTCATACCAGTATAGATATAGATAGTTTTTGAGTCTATATTTAGGTCTAAGTACACATGTTACTCCATTTTTGTTCAACTTGATGCACACTGGGGCAACTAGTCTAGGTAAACAAAACTGCATTTCTTTCTTTGTCTTTGTTTTGGATTGTTATGCACATGTAGCCCACACGGGGGCACCCTAACCTTACTGCATTACTGTACTGTACTGTAGCACGTGTATTGGTCATAGCATCTTGATTTATCGACTTTACAAATCCCTCTTTCTGCGTTATTGGGGCTGCACGTGTGAGCTCTAGTGACATTTCCTATTGTGTATTATTCAGAAAGGTGTTTTGTACTGTAGGGATATTTTTAGTTTTTTTTATTTAACCCTGCAGACTTGTTTTTTTTTTACTGTCAAGAGAATAGGAATCCCTCTTTTGTCCCGTGGGAGTTTATCATTGCCTGCAGCTGTAATAGCTGAAATCAATCTTTGGTCTTAACACGTTTTAATTTAGTAGATGAGATAAATTCCGATATCGAGAAGAGCCAGCCGGGGCAACGCGAGCCCAACACAACAACTCCAGGGTTAATTTATAGACTAGTGTGCCCTGCCCGACGGATCCTCTGCTTGTTTTCGAGTACTACGGCTCTTTCTTCTTCCTTTCTATCCGGTTTTCCCCGGTTTAATCCAACCTCCGCTCTGTTCCCTCGAATATTTTATGCAAAACTGCGTCAGCTGAGGTCCAGGTGGGGGCGTTCCCGCATAGATTACGCAAATGAGCCCGGTCTGCGCCAATCGGAAGCCCCGGTTGCGGTTGTGTTCTCTGGCTATATTATGCAGTCCTCTGTCGAGCCACAGATCCTCCAGAGTAGAGCCGATATGAGCTGACCTTGGGTTGTTTGTGCCGCTGGTCTCGGTGCATTGGCTTGTAGTTGTGGATATTTTTTATAAGAAAAGAGGGACGTTTGGATGCGGCTTTCGGCTCGGGGAGAGGAGCTGATCTTGCCGCGGAGAAGGTCGACTCTGAACGGGGCTTTTTGTCGCTGCGGGCTCGTGCAGCAAGATGAGCAGTATGAACGCGCCGTGCTATTCAGTGGCGATGGATCTAGGCGTTTGCCAGCTGAGAAATTTCAACTCCATTTCATTTTTGTCAGCGTTGTTAAGCGCAGAGGGCTCCCATCTCACGCTTGAAAACAGGTAAAATGACAAATAATAATAAGTTATCATTTGCTTTGGTGCTGCGTCCGGGCTTAGCTCCCTCTTCACCTGCAGCATAATGTTACCGCAGACATGGATGCAGCTCGGTTTTAGGTTAGGTTTCTGTAATGGCTTGTGTGATGCTCCCAGCCTCCATCGCTTTCCACAAAACCTCACAAAATGAATCCCGCTTTCTAGAAATTTCCAGAAATAGCTTTGATCCAGCCCCTCTACTGCCTAGGCGGGTTTTCCTTCATAAAAGAAAGGAAAAGGAAATGCCTTCATGTGATCCCGCAGGCCGTAGTTTTGTAGCATTGTCTGGCTCGAGCCGTTTTTTTAATGTCATCTTTCTCTTTTACAGTTCATCTGGAGCCAGCGTTGTGGCCATAGACAACAAGATTGAACAAGCAATGGTGAGTGTCTTTGCCCTTTTTATATTTATTTTAATTTATTCATTTAAAACCTTAAGTTTTTCATTAGTTTTCAACTGTTGGCCCAAGGTTCTTAACATCAGTGTGCATTTTACACTTTACACAATAAAAATGACATCAAGAGTCTATCTAAAGTAACTAAAAAAATAAATACATTCCCGTATTTTAATTATTTGAGTTCCCAATGGCTCCTTTGTGTAGAATTGTATTTTCTGCGCTGGTTTTGTTTGAGATTCTGTCAGCTCTGTTGCTAGGCAAACACAAGGCTCACACAGCTGGTAAAAATATCCCGCACTCTGATTGGCTGATTTTTGTTTGTGGGTGGGACTATGACGTTTTCTCAGTCTGTTGCGCTTTCGCTCTGTTTAATCATTAACAGCCTCCACAAAAAACTGTAAATGTAGTTCAAAATGTAGGCAAACATGATTCTTAGATAACAGTACACAAACTTTAAAAACATACATCACTATCATGTGTCTAATATTGTACTTGAATTTGCTGTCTTCTATGAAAATTGTAGTAAAGGAACATTTATATAACAAAGGATCATTTTCAGACCATTATTGTGAAATAAGCAATTATGTTTATCTCTGTTATCCCAGATTTATTGGAAAGATATTGTCAACCAAAAATTATCCCTGATAATACCAAACTCGCACTTTATGGGATATGGAACTCTAGCTCCAAGAGTTATGGATGCTTTGAACTCTGTAAATGGCGAGAGAGGACAAAGAAGGGTTGCAAGATGTATAGTAATGAAACTGAAATTGTAATTTAAAAAGTTGCAATTGCAAGGACCTCCATTATTCAGCTAGCAACATAACTTCCCTTGCAACCAACAAATTATCCTTTCTGAATATGTTAAATGTTCCTCTACAAACATGTTCTGAAATGTATGTGATTCTTGTATTAGTGTAGCATTTTAGTGCTCTCTTGAATGTTACTGCTCCCGGGCAAGTTTACAATGTGAACAGAAATCACAAATAGAGTCATAATCGCTTTGCTTGTCAGAAAAATTGTGCTTTAATCTTTTTCACAGAATCGTTCAGCCTCACAACAAAATCCCTTCATTCATCTACCTGTTTGAGCGTAGCCCACAAAAAATACAAAGATGATTAGACATGACCCCGGACTTGCTGTGCTTATGGATAAATCTAACCTGTTATTTTTATGTAATTTCTCCAGGACCTGGTGAAGAGCCATCTGATGTACGCTGTCCGTGAGGAAGTGGAGGTGCTGAAGGAGCAGATTAAAGAGCTGATCGAACGAAACTCACAACTGGAGCAGGAGAACACGCTGCTCAAGACCCTGGCCAGTCCGGAGCAGATGGCCCAGTTTCAGGCCCAAGTTCAGAGCGGCTCGCCTCCACCCGCAGCCACCGCCACTGTCCCGGGACCACCCATCCTCACGCAGCCTGCCTCTCACTCCTCTGGCCCCTCTGCGTAGCATGGGCACAGACTCATAGACTTTTTTTGTTTTGTTTTGCGCTCAATACAGAGTCGCCCCTTGCCTATAACAGCATGAGTTTTTGTTTTGCTGTTATGACAAGATTTTTGCACATATTTATCTCAGAGGGGAGGTGACCGGCAGCAGTAGAGGTGACAATCTTGAATGCTGTATCACGATTGGGGTGATTGAATTCCTGAGGAGAATAAACCTGAACATTTTGCCAAAAAATACAAAAAAATAAACTACACGGACATATCAGCTCGAATGTCTTACCAACATTAGTGACAACTTTAGGAATTCACTGTGCCTGCGTCTGGATTTTAAGAGATGTCGATTTTACTGAGAAAGTAGAGGAGATATAGGATTGTAATGGTTAACAGCTTGCTCCATGATGTAAATACAACACTCTTTGGGCTATTGTTACAGAAAAGGAGAAAAATCAGCCTTGTTATAGTGACATATATTGATGAATGTGATAGCGACACAAGATCCCATCTGGAATGGGGTAGAAAAGCAATGTTTTTCGGGGAGGACACTTTGAACAACACTATACTGGCAACATTGACGATGTTACTTAAAACTATATTGGGTTGGTGGGAGGAACAAAAATGTTTCTTACTGAGATGACGATCTATATTTTCAGTATTTGACTTTCTCATTTGCCCTGCGACAAAAAGCTCAACGTTGCTGTTATCTCAACCTTGAATTAAGTGGCATGTCATTTGAAACTGTATTGGTCAAGGTTGAGAGAGATATTGGGCTTTACGCTGCATATTTTTTGTTTAATTTTTACGAAAAGAGTGATGGAAAGGAGGATAATGTATATTTCTGTACAGTGTAAGTACATTGTAATATAGTGAGGAGGGGGAGAAACAACAAATGATATTTAGGTCACGCAGATATGAGCGGGAACATGGTCCAACTCAGTCTGTGTCTATTTTTAATGCTGAATCTTCAGGACTGTCGATCTAAAAGGACTAGGATATTTAAACTGCAGATATCTCACTACTGCAACATTTCCACTTTTACCGATGTAATGCACCTTTTGTTTTTCTTTGACAGTGAATTCTGGATGAACCATAACTGAAAAGATACAATTTTTTTTTTCTCTTTTTTTTGATGTTATCAGTTGTATGCTCACGTTCTGTGCATGTCTCTGCTAAACCCGGATGAAGAAACTGTAACGTTCAAGCCACAAATGCACTTGACAGCTGCACTTCAAAACTTTCAATAAACGTGCTTCAAGAAGAATAATCACTCTGCCTCTGTTTACTCCTTCTAAATTCATGGGTTGTCATTAGCTGTGCTTTAGGTTCACACTTCACCACATTTAAATTGGAACTAAAACTGGACTAGATCAGGACTAACCCAAGACTAGAACAGGATTAAATCAGGTCTACAACCGAACTAAACTGGGCTCAAACCCTGACCAGGAAAAGTGTGAATGCACCCTTGGTTTAGAAACTACATTTTAACAACTAACTTTGCCTGGGATCACAAATACACACCTCTCTATTTTAAAAAAAAGAGATATCCTTCTGGACTTGCCAGGCAGAGGCTGAATAATACTTAGAAACGTAATTAAGTATTCATGTCTAATGTTTTTTTGTCTGAAGACTATATTTTCAGCCATTGTAAGAAATAGATAATTTGTACATGCATTATAATCTTCATCATTAATGAATGTGTAACATTAGCTCTACTTTTAACTAACATACCACTTGTTTAGGGAGCAATATGTGGACTCTTAGATTAAAGTCTCCCTGAAACTTTGATATTAACTCATTGTGTATTGCAATTAATCCATGGAAGCAGCATATCCATAAATGCTCTATATTTATTTGAAAAAGATAGCTTTGACACAACACAATCATTTCCACTGATATGGCACATTGTCAGCAGGAATCACATGTCTTCCAACACTCTCACCTCTTCATTCACACAAACACACAATTAAATAATGCACAAAGCCAGTGAAGAATGGGCATGATTTTCGGTGGCGTGGTTTTCGACTGTCCGTAGAAAAGCTGTCAGTACCACACACAGAGAGGTCCAGAGTGTATTCAGTGATGTTAAAATCTCAGATGGAGGGCAAGGGCCAATGTTATTCTATGGGCGAGGCACCATTTTTTAAACAAAAATCCAGAAATGTTGAACTTAATATACATTTTTGGTTAAAATAAGCCCCTCAAACTCATTTAGGGTGTGGCTTACTGAAATGCTTTGTCTACAGTCTACAATTAATAAAACCTCAACTTTTTGAAACTCAAATACAAAAAAAAAAGTAAGCGTTGACTATTCATGGGTTTCAATTTCAGACTTGAAGATAATATTTGGTAGTTGAGTTAGTAAAGATAAATAACTGTTGGCTAATTACCATGGCAACAGTCACCTATTTTTCAGAGTGAAACCCATGGATAGTGCTGTATTTGTGTGCTATAGTTTAAACTTTGGAGCAGTTTTTGTTTCATCAAGAAGCCAAATAATTACAAAGATATTAATCATAAACTGGGTCATTTTTAGCAGCATTTTGTACCATAGCATTTTGACCTGCCCTCCATCTTGGTTTCAAACCGTAGGCCCTTTTGAACGCTGTGACATCATGGCGAACACCTCCGATTGGACGGGACAGTAGAATGGGCGGGTCTTGTGGGCTCGAGGTTGGTCCTGAAGGTTTGATTCAGTTTCAGAGCCTCTGGACCAGGAGGGGGGCCAGGGGTAAGCGAGGGTGGGTCGGGCACAGAGAAGGGCATCGGGGGGTGTGATCACATACCCATACGAATGCTCTGGATGATCTGAAATATGGCTGCAAAGACACAGGTGAGAAAGGACATTAGAAAATTGGTTAATGGAGTAAGTTAGTTATTAAAGGGCCTATACCGGATTTTTGACTACCAAATACCATCAAAGAAAAATTGTGCCTTTCTGAGTACCACCAGATGTAAATCAGCTATATAACAGGACCATTTCAGGTCTAATCTAGGGCTCTACCAGGTCTATAAATGGACTATATAATTTCCCTTGTAGTTCTAAACAAGACATTACCCAAAGGAGGACAAAAAAAATTGGATTAAATTACCTCTAAATTAGGCAAACCCACAAATTGAAGATCTGTCCAATTACCACCACCAGCTTGAGAAACACTGATCTAGTTAATGTTTAATTTACAAGAGCAAAAATATCATGTTGATGAAAACTATGATGAAATGGAAACATGCACATTTTCTACAGGCACAATGAAGTGTCTATTTTCTGCATAAGCAATTAACAAACTTAACAAACTGGTCAGAAATATAAAGAAGGTTGTTTCCCAATTAAACCAGGTAAAAGCAGCGGTCTGCACCTCTTGTCAACAACAACCTCTGGCTACGTTGGCTTCTTGGGCGTGACAATAACACCGGTCAGCTAAACAAAGCAGGTACATTTGTATTTTGGCTATAGTTACACAACAGTCTCTTTGACAATGTGCATTTTAACACAATACATGATGTCATGTTGGTATATTGCACAGTGATTGATACTTTGCAGCTGATGTCATTGTTTCCTGGGGGTGTGAAGCTAACTGTAGACACTGCTCTGTCTGAGGCTTTGTTAGACTTTAGTCTGAGCTTTATTTCAACACAGTCTGACCAAAAATGACTTAGCTGGAACTACATGGGCAAGCTGATTTGTGCTGTTAGGGTTAGGAACAAGTCCCTCTCAAATAACTTTACAGTCAGCTAGCATTAGCCAACAGTTTTTCAGTTAGTCACTCTCCCCGTTTTTTGTTGAAAATCGAACACCTTAACAGGACCACGAATGCTTGTATTAGTCACAGCCTCCTGAAAATGTGTTGCGTAAATCCATTTAGAATTTTTTTTGTGATTTTTTTTTTCAGACTATTTTTACTAACGTGTGCATTATGTCACCATGACACTTGATGAACATTCCACCCTACACATACATCTTGAACACCCCCAGTGTGGTGTCACAATATAAATATAAATAGAGAAATAAATATGGACAGAAGGCAAAAATGCAAATAAAACACATATTTAAGTGCAACACAAAACACACAAATGCTTTATTAATCATGGGAAAGAAACTAATTACCTTGAAGCATTTGAAAAGAACTAATTTAACTCAAGCACTGTTTTGTTCAAAGCATGTTAATGTGATTTTCAGTTCAAAGGGCTGCTTACCTGAGCCGCACACAACAAACACAAAGAGGGCGAGGAGCCAGGGCCCGACTGGATACTTCTCCTCCTGCGGCCTCTGGGCAAAACAAAACATATAAGATATATATTTAAATTATGCCAGGTCTTAGGTCTTAGTCATGGCTACAATGTTTAGTCTGTGGTGTAGGTTACAAAACAGGCATGACACATTCTTAAAATAGTGTGTACATTTAAAATCAGACACTGACTAGACAAAAGCTTAGAGTGAAATTTTTATTACATTTTATTTTCTATGAAACCTACCAGAATGATTGAGGGAATACACAGATGTCTTTATAAAACTATTTAGAATTTTTTTTAGTAAATTATTTTTAAGATAATCAATTAATTCCAACTAAACCATAATTGGAATAATTGTTAATACTTTAGTAAATGAATAAGACAAAGCAGATATATTACATTAAAATGTTATGGAAAATGTGTAGATTTTGCATTAATAAATGTGTATGTGTATAAGTCAGGATGGCCTCAAGCAGTATCACTTCTATAAAGAGTGAAAAAAAATCAACCTTTTCTAAAAGTCAATTCAAATGCTAATACCCACAGACATTTCAGGTATATTTATGTATTTTATCGACTAAAAACAGCAATGGTACATATTGCAACATACCCGTGCTGCTGATAACATCACAAAAACAACTTTAGGGTCGTACAGTTCAATAACAAACCAAAGCTAGCACAGACTTTCCACACAGAGATTTAGGATGAGTGAGAGACGATATAGGCCCGGACAGATTTTGGGAGCACCCTTGATTCCCGTGGGATGAGCTCATGACATACAGTCTGTGGGATGGTGAGTGACAAACTAATATGACACAAAAGATGTCCTCAAGTTGTTTTGTTTTGTCAGGAAAAAAAATTTGATACTCTGTGTCATTGGCTGCATGGTTAACCTCATTCTGTGATATAGGAAGACTTGGACATTCCTAAAATGCACAACAGCAAAACCATTTTCAAGACAACAGGAGATAAGAGGAATGACGTTTGTGAACCTGCTGTTTTTGTGAATGTGGGTTTGGGCTTTAGTTGACTAAAGAAATTCTTGTTCAACTCAAGACATGCTCTATGTTGATTGATCAACTAAAGGGCATGGCGCTGGCAAATGCTCTCAAAATTATTAGGAACTCACGTGAAAACAACTTTACAGAAAAGCACTAGTAAACAGCCGCTTCAAAAGAGAGAAGGCAGATTATACTGTCCAGTCACTCCGAAAACTCCAGCTAACTCACTCTATGCATCTACATCGTTTTCCTGCTATAGGCCATATAAATCCTTATAATTCAAATAAAACAGATAGGTTAAATAAGGGTGCATTCTCATTTGCACATAGGTCACATTAAAATTGGGATTAACCTGGGAATAAACCCAGAACAACATCTAGAAACCAGGACTATACCAACTAAAATTAAGGCTAAACTGGGCTCAAACCAGGACCAAATAATGGGAAAAGGACACCAAAAAATTGCTATCAAAAATGTCTGTAAGGATGTCACATAACATCCCGTTTACAGTTCCCACACACGATTGTTTACAGACAATAGAATGAGATGATGTCACTCTTGGATGGGGACAGGGGAGCGAGAAGTGGGCGATATTTTTTGGATTATCCGCATGGCGATACAATCTTATGGTTTCCATCCAAAATGTACTCATATGTGCCTGTATAGATTGTGGTTAACAAAAAGCGAATGCACAGTAAAAATTAAATCCAAGAATGCAGAAATATCCCTTTATACCCTTTTTGCAAGTCAATTTTAATTTTAATTTGCACAATACAACACAAAGATAAGATATAGATGCAATTCCTGACCATTCTCCTGCATGATCAACCCAGGAGGGCCACCCATATGTAAGTATTCTTTCTGTGTGCTCAAAGCAGCTCAATGTATCTTTTTTAGTGAATGGAGATTGTCTATGCTAGACATGTCAAACTCAGGCCTGGGGGCCAAATTTGGCCTGCAATATAATTATATTTGGCCCACGAGATAATATCAAATATGTATTAAAACTGGCCCACTGGCTACAGATAGACTACAGAAACATTATTTATTTAAAATGTTATAATTTTATATTATGCTTGTTCTGGATTCAATGTTAAAGCAAAACTATTATTAAACATTTATTTTAATAAGAAATGGTTTAATATTACATATCTCGAAGAAAAGAAAACATGCAGATGTTGTTGAAATTTTTCAATAAATATTTAGTTTGACTTAGTCCCAGTTTTTTTTATTTTGGCCCTTTGTCAGTTTGAGTTTGACACCCCTGGTCTATGCTGTCACACAAGTAGTAACACTGCCTGATAATAATATATTTATCTGTTCCACAAAAGGGAAATTTCATTGTAATACTCTAATAATTAAGGACCCACTACATCAAATCAGCCTAAACATAAATATAAAAAAAACAGTTGTTGAGTAATGTGTAATTATTATGATCCATGAACGAATTCCAATGAGTTTCGAATCCCCCATTACATTAAGTCCAATGTGCAATAGTGGAATGTTTTTATAATATATATTATATTAGTTCAGTAGTTTTAATTTTCAATATGAACACACAAAATGATCAACTATGTTTTCCCTCTCACTGTTAGCAACACAGCTGTAATATCATATCTTTAAACTTGCACTGTACCCTACGGAGGGCGGGGGATCCTCTGCTCTTCTGTCACACATTAGCATCTTGCCTGATTTTTAACATATGCACCCTCGTGTATAACAAACAACCATGAGTCATACTATACACGAGATATCTCGGGGAATAGCGGTACATTTAGTTCAGGTCCTCTGGTGTGAACGTCACCTATGTTGGCTAATTTCATGCTGGCATCTTCAATGTGCTCACCACTCACCAGCGTCTTGGCTACGTTTCCTCTTTGCGTGATGTTCTTGCTGTGTTTTTCGTTGGCCATGCGGATCCTTTGTTTTGCCACCATCTTCCGAAATTAAGCCGGATACCCTGGGTAAACAAATTAGTGTGTTTTTTGCCTGTTATTTGCTCAAGCCGGAGCGACAAGGCAAGACGTCAAGTTAACAAAACGTAGCAACGACCACACCGGAAGATACTTTTCATGCAATCAAATTATTGATTTCAAACTCATGTATGCTGCCCAGATTCTAATTATTCAGTTTATTTCGTTTACCAAACAAACAGTTGATAAAAAATATACTACTTATCCAATCAATTTCATGTAATTTTAAATTACTGATTTAATGTGTTTTACGCTGAAAAGTAAAACCGGAAGTTGTTTGCTACACATCGAGAGTACTGACAACACCTCTGTAACATCACCACACTGTAATAACGGAATTTTTTTTAGGTCATTAAGAGGCATAAATAAAGATTGTATTCATGTATCATATCTAGACAAACTAAGAGGCTTTAGAATTTAAAAGAAACTATATTATTCGAGAAGAAACTCACAATTAGGCTATTTCTGATAAACCACTCTTACCTCTTAACAACTCTTATCTAAGTAATTTGTTCCTCCTATAACACGAAATGTATAACTTACAATTAAAGTGTGTACCATTAAAATAACTCCTAATGATTTCATATTTGGATTTTTTTTTTTTGAGGATCAGAATTTTGCAGCTCACCACCACTAAAGAGTACCAGATCAATCGACTACAGGATTGGACAGCGATAATTATTATGTAGACTGTATAGTATAATAATAATAGGTTGTAATAGAAGCTAAACTGATAGGCCTATATATTAAATGTTTTAGGCTAAATCCAATAGTTTTCCATTTAAAAAAAACTTAACTATAGTTCCATCAACTTGTTTTTTCTGTACCAAGTTGTTTTGCTGCATATTGTAAACCAGGCTATTTGAGTTGACGGTAATTGTGTGTGGGGATTGGACCTCTGGGTTTGGCTCATATCTGCCTCAGTCCAATATAAAATGATTAGATTAGAGCAAAAAACTTTCACGTTTCACAGATCTTCTTCAGATTTTTAGATCCAGAACCAGACTTAGCTTTCCCATGTTAGTCTAGGTCACGCGTCGGCACATTTTGCACGACTGATGTGTTCAGTAATCTGGTTTAACTAAATGTTCTGAATGTTCAAATTAATCAACTTCACGTGATTCGACCGGCCACATGTGTTCACCTTCGTTTTTATAGATTTTATTTTCAAGGCTGGTTAAACTGCAGTACTGCACACAGGCCAACGTAGTATAACAGTGAAAATAGTCTGAATTAATATTAGATCTGAGCAGTTAACATATCATTTAAATCAAATCAAAGTACAAGCGTATACTATATTGTATAATACATTAAAAAGCATCATTGATAAAGCGGTCATATCCACTGACCCAAAGATTGGCTGTGTGATTCCAGCTCCCACAGATGAATACTGTCATTGTGTCCTGGGGCAAAACACTTAACATCTCTTGTGTCTGCATACACTTGTGTGTGAATGGGTGAGTAGTACTTCAACCAATCCTAAAAGCATGTGGTTTGGAGTACAGTTCAGGCTTTGTGTTAATGAGCAATGATTCAAATTCTCTATGGTTTATGTTTACAAAATGTAATTCCATATCATATGCCAATATAATTTGTAAATTAACTTTCTCATTTCTGGTTTGACTAAAACTAAATTTAAAATATGGACACAGCAAAGGGTGTGTTTCCCACCATCCGACCAAAATATGTGGTTATTACAAAACTGTTTTCTAAAGCTGAAATGTCAGAGTTTTTTCTATTGTTGATGTCAGGCTTTGTGTCTGAGCTTTTGAATCCATTGCAGCAAACTTGCATCACTCCTTCAATCAGACAGATGACAGAAGTGACAGAGAAAAGAGGAGGAGTGGGAGTCGTCATAGCAACTGCATCAAAGGATTTGCTCCGACATAAAACAAAAACCCAGAGACTCAAATCAAGTGTATGGCCCTCATGTTATAGCAGGGGACATAAACACATGGTGTGTCAAGTACAAGCCATAACAGTCAATTATTTCATTAAGGGTAAGTGAACCAGAGAACACATTTACTGACATGTTATTCTAATTACATGTGGTAATTAAAGAGGAAATATTCAGCAAAAATGAACTAGATGAGCTTTTGCTATCATGAAAATGAAACTCATGACATTACTCAAAGTTGAATCTTGATTGAGTCTGTGGTAACCCTGTATTGTCCTGTTTTCAAAGCTAAAATGCTCAGAAAATGTCAGTTTGCACTTATCATCTATCCCCACCCACATTTTTGTACTTACTTCTACATCTATAAAATGTTACTTTGCACTGAGTAATTGAGGAAGTTTGAAGGGCATCTGATACAGAAAGATATAAAAAAAATATATATAAATAAAATAAATAAAAATCACCCTGAATTAAAGGTGCACTATAACTTTTCTGCTGGGGGATCAATCACTTGCTAGTCTCCATGGAGATGATGATTTTGCTTTGCCTGTGAAGTTATCTATATTATCCAGCATATGGTAAATGGTCACATTTTTCTATAGCACTTTTCCACCTTCAAGGTGCTCAAAGCGCTTTACCACTCACCCATTCACACACACACAGTGGGCAAGGTGGGTTAAGTGTCTTGCCCAAGGACACAACAACAGCATTCATCTGTGGGAGCTGGAATCACACCAGCCAACCTGTGGGTGAGTGGATCTGACCGCTCAACCTGTGATGTTTATGTCGAGAGCTGGAATCGAACCACCAACCTTCAGATCAGTGGGTGAATGCTCTACCAACTGAGCTACTGCCGCCCCATATCAGATACCACCACCAGAAAAGCTCCATAGTCTACCTTTTTTTAAATAAACAGACTAGTATGTGAGTTCCGTTGAACACTTAATTAAATGGCTGTGGATGCTAAAGGATCTGCTACTATATCAAAGAGGAACAGACATATCAAACCAAGATGAACAAACCTAAATATAAATAAACATGCCCCAAATGTATGAAAACGTGTAGTGTTTTGTTGTGGTGATGAAACCTCCTTGGAGCACATATCGTCCACTACTGTACAGAAGTCACCCACTCACACCTACAGACTTCCTGCTCCCAGTCTGCTGCTCTCTGTGCTTCTCAGTGTTTGTTTACATAAAGGTACCGGCACCTCGACCTCCCACTGGCTCCTCTGTCTCTACACTGCAAAAAAGGAACATTTGTTCATCTATCTGATTGTTACTCTCTTAAAACATGAAAAAAACTAATTCATTTTAAAGAGTTTGCAGTAGTTCATAGAGAGACCAGAGCAGAGTTTTGTCTTCTAAAAACAACTCGTATGCTAACAAAGCACTTTAGATGCAGACAGTACACTTTGGTCCCAATTTGGGAGAGATGCTTTTACAATGTATCTGGATTGGGGTAATACAAATTGTACTTTATTACAATTATGAAAACATCTGGTAAAGCTACTTTAAAATTAAACTAAAATATGTATATTTTCAATGAGTTGGTATTGATTTGTAGATATAGAGTAGACTATTTGATTTAAGGTGTTTTCACTGATTTTTCTTTATTAATCTTTATTATGTTTTGTTGTAAAAGCACATTACAGCACATAGATTCTCTGGAGAAAACATGCTAATTGCACAGGGGCTCAAACTTGGGATCCTCCTGCTGTGAGGCGCAAAGACAAACCACTCTCCCATTCTGCTACCATATTATAAGTACTAGAACTTAAAGGTGGTATATGGAAAGTTAGTTAGTTAGAAAGTTTTTTACATAGTTTATTTTTTGCAGTGTGGCAGAGTGAAGAAGAGTGGGACAATGCTGGACACAGATCAGATGTCTCGTGTTCAAAGTCAAACTTGACCTAGATTCTCCACTAGTCCCCAGGATCGCCTTTGTCCTGACTTTGTCTGTGGGCGACAGAGAGACAGTTGTAGTTCGTAACGGAGATAAGGTATGTAAAGAGATAACTGAGATATGGTAAGTGAAGAGTTGAGTAAAATCTGCTTCCTTTAACACATTTTAAAATTGTGTTCATATACTGCATTTTCTACACATTTTAAGTAATTGAGATCATGCAAATATGATCTAAACCAATATGGTGTGAAAGAGGACAAGATATCAGGCCATGCATTTCAAAATCGTTCAAATGTTTTAGAATTATTTCCCTTAAAAAATGTATTGCTGTGTTCTCATTTGACTCATCGATTTGTTGACAAAATAACAAGGTGACTGGTCAGTATAATGAATTTGGGAATAAAAACTAAAAATGTTTTAGCATAGTTGGCAGTCTAATATCAAAAGCCTATATTGTTTCAAGCTGCACACCCTCCTCTTCTGGTGAAGGGTGCACATACTGCATGACACGATTGTTTTGCCTGGAATGTTTCATAGTGGCATTAACCTTATATATCTTGCACAACTGTATATATAAATGGACCCACTAACCCACTAGCCCCCGCTTTCCAAATAGGAAGTGAACATGGGAGCACTCCTGGCTCTATCGACTATGGCTCCAGTTCACTTTACTGTACATGATCCGGGTCACCGTTCCACAGATCTGACCTGTAACTTCTGTACACCTCTGATTTCCAGTATAGCTGCGAGAAGTCCTCTGATGACACTACAGTGGTAGGGTGTATCAGAGATGGTCAGGAGCTGGCGTACAGGACACTGACTGAAAACTTTGTGGACTGGTCCCAGGAAAACCATCTGCTTCTGAACGTTGACAACAACTGGTGATTATTATGTCTTTTTTGACACCTCTCTCTTACTATCTTTTTTGCAACTTATATAGAATTTATTATTACCGTTTATATGTTTTCTCTTTGTTTTTATATTATATTGTGATGTGTGAGCTATTGTGTCCATATAATTTCCCTTGTGGATCATTTAAGTTTGTCTAAGTCAAAGTGTAACTTAGTCAGCTAGTGTCTTCATGGAGATAGACATATTTAATGCCATGCTGTGGAACGTTCCAAGCTGGTAGTGGCCCATCCAACCAAGAAAGTTCCATGGTGCACCTTTAACCTCCAGGAAAAGTCACTACTGGATCAAATTCTTCATTTTTGGCATGGATAAA